TGGATAATAATGAAATTATGGCAAACTATTTGTCCACCCTGTCATGGAAGGCTTGCTGACAGGGTGGACATTGGTACGAAGGAAACACATTTCAAGAGACTTATCATTGCACTGATATGTGTGTAAATGTTTGGCCTTTTATAATAAGACCTCAGAGTTTCATTATTCTGCTACATTTTCATGATAACTGAGTGATTGATTCTGATGGGGACACCAAAGTTACTTTATAATGATATTGACCCAAACAGTATTTCATATCTGAAAAACTAGTCTTTAAATCTTATAGGCAGGCCTACTTTGTTCAAAAGTTGTTACAGCTAACATCTGAACAACAAACGCATTCCTTTGGCTGTCACGTTAAGAGGAGGGACTCTAGGGCAGGCAGAGAAAGAGTGAAGTTGTGAAGATAAATACTAGGTAATAAAACGTAACACTAGCCGTGTTATTGAGCAAGAACTCACTGGTGGATCCAACTTGAATGTCTGTTGAATATCCAACCTACAACTTCATATATTTTTTGTTGTTGCTTTAATTCGTCTGTTGTGATTGTAAACTGAGCTTCCTTTTGGTGTGAACTTGGAATTGGAATATAATTTTTTTGTACTATTTTCTGACTTGATCTGACCAAATGTTTAATAGTAACAGTAACACATTTGAATTGCTGCTAATTAAGTGTGCTGATATTTCTTTAGGAGATGACAACGAAACACTATTGACAAACCAGTTGGGAAATCCATGTAAGTATGTACAGTATGTCTCTGCCTGTCCTGAGGATAAAGAGAAGTTGTAAAATTAACTTGTTTTGACATGTTTCTCTTAAAAATGACACTCTGCTATTCAGACAGCAATGTCGTTGCCCCAGGATCCCATGTTTACCCATTCAGCTTCCAGATCCCTCCCCAGTAAGTTAACATTCTTATGATGTCTCTGTAATAAATATAATTTATTTTGCTATAGAGTCTGTGTAATTTGATTGCTTGCTTTCCTGCATGTGCAATGTATAAAATAAATATCCAGTAAGTTTATCATGTTCTTCTGGCCCTCTGCTTTAGGGATATGCCCTCTTCCTTCGACGGTGACTATGGTAAAATTGTGTACGCGCTAAAAGCCAAGCTGAGCAGATCAATGAGGATTCCAACGAAAGATTCTACCAAAATCAACTTTGTCGCGAAGGCAGACCTGACCGGTGACTCTGGGCTGATGGTATGTGCACAGTGACATCCTGATTCCTGGCATACCAACTGGGAAAACACTCTGCTTGTGTTGGTGAATGGCTAAATCCCAGCCCTTGAGGAATGTGCATTCCTTAATACCTGGATATTTTTGACTGAACATTAACCACACCCTCACTGTATAAAGTAAGACTTAACAATTCAGTAGTACAACTGTTGGATTGGCACATATTTTGTTATGCAGGTTGGCAGTGGATGTGGGCATTTGATACACCAGAATAAAAGCTAATAGGTTAAGTGTTTTCTGTCAGTCGTTTAAGTGATTTGCTGTCTGATCTTCTTTCAGGAACCACAGCATGAGTCTAAGGATAAGAAAATGAAGTTTTTCAACTCAGGAACAGTAGCCATGGATGTGAATCTTGAAAAGACAGGTTTCTTCCAAGGTGAGAGTCCTAAAACTTAAATTAACTCTTGTTACACACATGCTAAGTGTTGTTTTGACACTTCTGATCTGTTTCTAGGAGAAGGACTAAAGGTTATGGCCTTCATTCAGAACAACTCATCTCGCGAGATCAAGCCCAAGTACTGTGTGTACAGCAAGCATAGCTTCTTTGCACGAGGAAAAAGAAGAGTTTCAACCAAAGACCTGTTTAGAGAGGTGGGAGAGCCCATCCCTCCGTCTTCTAACCAAAATGTCCTAAAGGTCCTCCCCATCCCCCTCGATGTGGAGCCGTCCATCCTCAACTGCAGCATCCTCAAAGCAGAGCACAGACTCAGGGTAAGGATCCATATGGGCAGAGATGTGTCTGCTTGCTCTCATGTGATTGACAAACATTCTCATATTTTTAAACTCATTTTAATAGCTATTTTTTCAATGTTTAATCTCTGAATAAGGTAGCAGCAAAATTGAGAGTGAATGGATATTATGTACTGTTTTTCTAGTCCTCTCGATGAGTGTCTCCTATGGCTGCACTATGCAGAACCAGAATGCTTTTGAATGAACCCCGTCTTTTGTGGTTAACGGTGCTTTCCAAAATATGATGTTATGCACACAGGATGTAATCTCGTGATCCAACAAAAATCCAACAATTTCTCAACAGGTCTACCTTGATGTCAAATATGCTTCGGACCCAGAGATCAAATTCCCCATAGTCTTCCTGCCGACCCCTAAGGTTCCTGGTGCGGAGGCGCCCCCACTCGCTGCTTCTGGTTTTGGATTTGAACCATTTGGAAACACCTACCCACCAGCCTGGGGAACGGTCCCTCCACAACCACCATCAGCACCCCTACTCTCAGACCCCCCTCCTGCCTATGGAACAAGTGGAACCTACCCTTCTTTGATGGATTTAGGCAATAAATACTAGGGATTGGACCGTGAAGAAACGTGGACATTTAAAGGAAAATGAAATGAGAAATGAAAACAAAAAAATGACAGGTTCTGCTGTAATTAAATTCTCTATGTAAATAGTATATAAAAGATTGTTAGGATGTACATCAAATTTGAAGTGCTATCATATTTATTGATGATTCAAAAATAAATAATATATACCTTCATCTTGTGCTACAGGTTATTTGTCTTTTCAAATATTTGCATTGCATTCAAGTCATTATGACAGAAACTGCCGATATCCTCTGTAATCCAGGCACCCATCAAGGACACGCCTGTTTTCTATCCTGGCTCCCCATTGGACAGCATCACATAAAAGTGAAATAAAAAAACAAAGAGAACTATTTTAAGAAAATGGAATTTGTTTGACGTGACTGGACAATATGTCATGGCACATTGAGAAAGTGTATCATGTGAGCATCATAAATGCAGATGGTAATTAAGAGAGTATGCTCCCAGCGCAGCATGCTCCATGTCACTGGGTGCGCATGTGTGTCTTTCAGCTGAGTTAAACAGGTTGAACAGGATTTGCATGCTTTAGATAACCTACAAGTATTGCAAAGCAACTGGCCAGGGTTAACAAGCCTTGGATTTCCTCTTGGTTTTACAGGAGATTTGGATTTTCTACTGTTTGTTCTTTGTAAAAAAAATGACCAACAACTTTGCAATAGAATATGATGCCATCAACAGCAGAAACACCTTTACAAATGGAGATACCATCAATGGGAGAATCATCGTGGAGGTTTCTAAGGAAACCACAGTCCAGTCTCTAATTTTTAAAGCAAAAGGAAAAGCTCGGGTCCGCTGGAGTGAACATTACGGGCAACATCAACATCATGTGTACTGGGCTGATGAGAAATATTATGATGTCAAACATCATATCTTGAGAGAGTCAAGACAAGATGGTAACATGTTAAATTAATACTATCATTGATATGTTGTACATTGTAGCTGATGCAAAGACTTTGAGATAAATAACAATTTTTAATGAAGTTCAAGGACTCATAAGTAATTCTCTTCCAGGCACTGAAGTTATCGGTAAAGGGAGACATGTGTTCCCTTTTTCCTTCAAGATTCCTGACAAGTGAGTCATCTTTATTTCAATTTTTTTTTAAATGTATGTTTTATATCGTTATCTTCTTTAAAGGTCATTACATTTTTATTTTATTTTACTTGACAGCAAAATCCCATCATCTTTCAAATCTGGCATTGGTAACATTCATCATAAACTGAAGGCAGAGCTCAAGCAATCAATGAAGCTGACCAAAAAGGCCAAAACCCACTTCACATTTGTGTCAAAAGCAGACATGGATATTCCTGGACTTCTGGTAAGAAATCATTAGTCTATAAACCTGCACATTTATTTACAAATGTCTGAGCCAAATTGATCTAACCGAGGTTTGGGTTTGATTTTTTAGGAACCTCAGTATGGTAGCAAGGACAAATCTGTCAAGGTATTTGGCTCTGGAATTATTTCAATGGATGTTCAGACCAAGCGAATGGGATACAAACAAGGTAACAATCTAGTCTGGTAGAAATTCACTGCCTTTCCTTAACTACACATCATGTTTTGAATAGTAGGTATTTGTTAACTGACTATTGATACAAACTGTTATTTCGTTCAACTTTGAAATGAATTTATGCTGCAACCGTTTCATAAGGGCATAAAGGAAGTGCACTGTGCACAAACGTTGTCAAGTGTGTAAGGGACACAACAGGTTTTACAAGCTTTTGCCTCAGTGCAAGTAAAGGTTAAACCAGAATTCAACATTAGGCGTGTTCACACCAAATACTTTTCCCACAAAGGTTCCTGAGAACTCTTTAGTTCTCATGAACTAAGTACAGATCGCGTTCACACCGGAAATTAGTTCCTGGGGGTGGATTAGGCAAATTAAGCCGCTGACGTCACTTCTTCTTCTTCTGCTTTGGATTTACTGGCAGGCCGCAAACAACTTCACGGCGTATACTGCCGCCCAAAATCCCCGGCCGGAAGTCCCCGGAGTTACTGAAGCCTTCTGAGTAAACGGCCAGAACGCTGACACCTCCTCATCTCCACCGCTCCCATGTTTTATTTTGAGTTGTCATAAATTAGTCTCTCTGCGTTTCTGCGCTGGGCTAATGCTAATGCTGCAATGCGAGGATAATAAAATGGCGGCTTCACAACATTTTTTGGGAGTTTGACGGGGCGTGGTTTGCATTCCGCCCAGCCAATCAGACACAGGAACCTTTTTCTCCCACGAAAGTCCCTGCTCTCTAGCAGGGACTGAAAAGGGGGTAAAAAAGGTTCTCTAGAACTAATTTAGTTCCTGGGACTTTTTGGTGTGAACGCAACTAAATCGTAGTTCTCAGGAACCTTTGTGGGAAAAGTACTTTGTGTGAACGCGCCTATTATAGCCTTTCCAGCCAAGTGAAGCTGGACCTTTAGGGACTCTCTATCAGATTATGGGAAGGGATTGTGGCTCTTTTGATTTTCCACAAGTCTTATTTTCAGTTTGGGGAATGTCTTGGAAAATGTACCCCTTTGCACAAGAATCACTATTAAAAGCTACATATTTATTTTCTAAATGACCTCAAAGCTAGTTTGGCTTTTCTTCAAGTTTTTGTTACTGGTTCATATGTCCACAAAAACGTAATATTTGCAATACATATTTCCTGGGCAATTTATCACATTAGCAGGAATGTTTGTGCTATTTTGATATTTATTTGCTTTTATAATATGCAGGTTACCTTGGAATGGGTCTATGTGTGATCATATAGCAATAGTTTCACAATGAAAATGAAATCTCCTTATTGATTGAGTTCAACCATTTTTTATTTGTCCTGTTCTTTAAGAGACTTAGCAGCAGCTAGAAATCTTGTTTTTATTCCAGTTGCTCTTCACTTTGTTAATGTGATGCAGAAAGATATTCCACAACATCTACATTATAGCATCGCTGCAAAGCCTGGTGTAAGTTGCTCTTACATTATTAAACCTTTCTCTGACTACTAATTGGTTTTATAATTAAAATAGCTTTCATTTCTCGTTTTTACAGGTAGAGATCTCAAAGTCTCAGTTGAAATCGTCAACAACTCAAGTCGTTCAGTGAAGGCTAAAGTCATCCTGTATGAGAAGAAGAGCTTCTTCGCCCAGGGTCGCAGGAGAGTTTCCACAAAGGAGATCCTTAAGGAGAAGATGGAGGCTATCGCATCCTCTAACAAAGAGACTGTGGTCAAGGTGATGAACATCCCCAGAGAGTTACCTAGCTCCATCTTAAACTGCAGCATCATCAAACTGGAGTACAGGCTGAAGGTAAACTAAACTTACTTTGTGGGTTGTAATCTCCTCTTTCTGAGCCCTTCTCTTGTTCATATGGTGCTTTGTAACAATAGCTACTCAGCATGAAGGGCTTTTCCATGTGTCTGCTTTCATTGTTGTTGTTTTTTTTTACTTTTGGTAAGCGCATGAGTTTTCATTTTCTCCACCCTCTGTGACATACAAATTAAATAGTTCCAGTGATTTACAACAGGAAAAAACTTTAAATGTCTGCTTTCCCATGATATACTGTGTAATATACAAATGGACAAAGAGGACCCTTTTCTTCACTGGCTGTAAACTAGTAGGACTGGGAATTGTAGTTTTAAAAGACGTTTTCGTATTTCCCACAATTAAAAGTTGCCAGAATTAAACTGTGTACACCCTGGAGGTTTAGGGGATACGAAACACAGTGGTGTTATCAAATTTAAAACATATAATTAATAAATGGGTGAATTCATATACCCACATGACACCTAAGGTCAGAAGAGCTTTATTTAACAGCTGGTCTTATGTCTGTGACCCCTCCTGTTGTTCATTGATAAGCCTGAAACATGCACTTGTCAAGGTTCAGAGGCACATTTTGCAAATATGACAGTAGCCATCGATCATCTTTAGATAAGATAAGATATACTTTATTGATCCCAAGTTGGGAAATGTTTGTGTTACAGCAGCATACTACTTTGTTCTACTCCACTACAATTCAGAGGTTAACCTGGTATTTTTACTCCACTACATTTATTTTAGTTACTTTGCAGATTCTGATTAATGATGTGAAATATAAACAACCCTTAAATCAGACTTTAGTTACACCTGAGTCAAATTCAGGGTAGGTGATTGTCAAGAGCCAAAATAAACTATGCAATATATTGGACGTTAAGTACTTTGTCAGACTTCATATTTATCTGTGGATAACCCAAAAGTTTTTTTCTTATTCAAAAGAAGAACTTAACTTAAAGTATTCTTTAATGTTTAAATAAAGCCTTATTAGTTTGTCTGTTTTGCACATCCTCCTGTTAATATCTTTGGACGTCCTGCACTAAACTGTTTTATTGTAGAGATCACTACAGTATCTTCTTGATATTTTCTATTCTATATTTCTATCATGCCTTCTACTTTCCCCCAATATTGTATGTAGGCTACTGTTGATATTTAAATGTTTTCATCAAATAAAACTTATTCAACAACAAAATTCAATAACGTGCTTTAACCACTAGGCGGCGCGGGTTAAAAAAAACAGTGGTGTAGTGAATAAAACATAATAATATCAAACATAATGTGACTATTAACTTTATTGTGAAATTAAAACAGAACCAGATGGTAAAGGAAAAATAGCAGTTTCAGTCTCTCACACATCTGAGCTTAATGGCATGTGTCACGCATGAGCCTGTATAGACCCTGGTAACAAGTCAACTGGGTTGAGGAGTTGCGAAAAGGTAGTTCAGTAAATAATGATCTTTTAACAAGAAGCTACAAACAAACAAATCCCGCCCTGTTCCGTATCGCCCAGGCTGTGCGGCACCCGTTATGGTGTAAACTTATAAGCGCTATCTACCAAATCGGACAGCACTCCAAATATAAAATGGTTACAACGCGTAAAACAATCCGATGTTTTCAGGCCTATGCAAAACGCTCGATCTCTCCGGGGGGGCTGAAAAATATGAATGGTGGGCTCTCAGAAACGAAAAGAGCAAAAACCTATGGGAAACAAAAGCACACAACCAGCATTGTACACCAATTCTAAACCCAAATAAATGTCGTATATTAACAAAGGATAAACCTGATTGTTTTTTTAGTTTTTGATGAGATACTGCAGATAATCAGCTGTTAAATCATTTGAACATTTAATACGGCNGTTTTTTTCTTATTCAAAAGAAGACCTTAACTTAAAGTATTCTTTAATGTTTAAATAAAGCCTTATTAGTTTGTCTGTTTTGCACATCCTCCTGTTAATATCTTTGGACGTCCTGCACTAAACTGTTTTATTGTAGAGATCACTACAGTATCTTCTTGATATTTTCTATTCTATATTTCTTATGTAGGCTACTCTTAACATTTAAATGTTTTCGTCAAATAAAACGTCTTCAACAACAAAATTCAATAACGTGCTTTAACTACTAGGAGGCGCGGGGTAAAAAACCAGTGGTGTAGTTAATAAAACATAATAATATCAAACATAATATGACTATTAACTGTATTGTGAAATTTAAACAGAACGGTAAAGGAAAATACAGTTTCAGTCTCTCGATTTGAAACTTATGCATTGTAACATGTTTAACGGTTCACAACCGTAAGCGACCTGTTATGATCAGGAAACGACAGCGAAGCATCTGGGTGTCTTTTCTGGCATTTATTCTGAGAACAAAAAAAACATTCTCTTTACCTCCGCATTGCACATCCTCAGCAGTGCTCACTTCAGTGTCCCTAGTATTTATTTATACATACTAGCTTATTTATACAATGAGAAATTATTAAATGACCAAGAAAATCTTATTTTTTAGTAACCACACAAAATACAAACACAAACATACCTGAGAACCAAAACAACACTCTCTTTACATCCGCGTTGCACATCTTTACAAAAGAAAATAAAGAAAAATCAGAAAGTATTGACATGTAAACAAAGAAAATGACGCAGATCTATTAATTGCTAATAGTTATGATCCACGTCACGTATTCAGTGTTGGCCTGCGTCATTTTCTTTGTTTACATGTCAATACTTTCTGATTTTTCTTTATNTACACACACACGCAGGAGATGGCGGAGAGAACGCGCTCCGAGGTGTGGTTAAACTTTAGCCGTCTCGATGTGGACAATGCTCGTTACCAAAAGTGCAATAACAGTTTATCATATAAGGGCGGTAACACGAGCAATTTGTCTAAACATTTAGCAAAAGTGCACCACATTCAGACGGAGGAATGCACCAGGTTCGACTGTCTTTCTAGCAGCTCGGTAACCCCGTCCACGAGTAACGTTTCCACGTCAGGTGTTATGTATGCTAGCAGCAACACACAGAGTTAACTCAGTTATAAAAACATAGGTTAATGATTAGAGGTATCTGAGTTATTTTGTTAAAGTTTCAGCTATTCTGTTTACAGTTCTGTCATCACATTATTTAATATGATTTGTTAAAACATTGTTGTTTCTTTTGATGTGAAATATTATGTATTTAATTAAAATAAAAAGCAATGTTAGTTTTGTTCACAATTTGTTTAGTTAGTTTACCTTATTTCTTGTCAAAAGAACCGTTAATACCATCGTTAAAAGGACCGGATCGATAAGCAGTGTCGATATAAGTAGTAGTACAGTTAAAACCTTAACGATCCGAATAATCGATTAATCGTTTCATTAATCGATAGATTAATCGATTATCAAATTAGTCGTTTGTTGCAGCCCTACTTTAGTACCAGGGGTTCCTCTATGAAAAACTGGGGGAAGTTACCTGGGAAAACCACATGTAGCACTCCAATCTTGAAAAAGTACTTAATTCATATAATAATGTATTGATCCAATAATATCACAACCAAACAAGCTTCTTCTGCTTACAGTTCAAAACGAGTAAGCATTTACACCTTAACGTCATTCCAAGAAGATGTGAGTGGGGGATTCTTTTAAAGTCGAGGTATTTCTTCGGTCTTGTTGAAATACAGGATGCATTCATTAGTCACCAGTAAATCATGCAAGATCGTTCACAGTTTCCTCTCTGTTGTATCTTGTCTGTGAATCTTTGGAATCACAGACAGGCTTCAGATGTCATAAAACATTCCTCATTCGGTTTACATTTTGGCATTAAGTCCCAAAGCAGGGCTCAGGCATTGCAGCGAGCGACCGAAAATTGCGGAAGATTCCAAATATTTAGTTTATGCGTAACATTTTCTAAATTCCACTGTGGCACTCAGATTTTTAACAGGCAAAATAGGATTTAATCTACAGAAAACAGCTATCATTCAATAGAAAAAACACTGAAGCTCAGAAGCAGCGGTCAACTTGAAGTGTGCACATCAAAGCTGCCACGCCCACACCAATGTTCAAATAGCTTTGCTTGATTGTCGTCTTGGAGATTCTACAAATGCGCACACACACAATAACAAGAACTCATGAGTACACGGGCACACAGGTATTGTTCATAATGCACTGGGAAACCAGAAGGTGACAAGGTGCTAAATCTTCTCTGGGCTATGTCGGGGTCGCCGACCCAATGTAATAAAGCCGCCATCTTCAAAAGCTCTCATAAAATACTTGTCATTTTTGTCCCGTGCCAGTTCTGTCCTGGCAGGCCACACAGCTGCTTTCCCCTCCAGTGTTGAACCTGGACATGTTAAGTGGACCTTTGCTTCACATCGCTGCAACAGCTTCCCTACCTTTTTCTTTGGTAGTGTCTCTCTGTCCCTAACAATACAAACGTGTCTCCATTGTTTAATGCTTGAAATACCCTGCTTATATTGAATGAAACCAAGAGCAAATTAGCAAGACGAATCAGCTAAAGATATCTTTTGTGTTTTGCAAAAGTAATGATAACACCATAAGCTAATTTAGCAAACATGCTAAAAAGTCAGCTTTTAGCTTTGTCACTGTTAAAATGTTAGCATGCTAAAGCTAGCATTTAGTTTAAAGCACCACTGTCCCTACAAACAGAGCCATTAGTGTGTCTGTAGACTTGCCTTTTTTACATGTGGTCTTCTTCTTCTCTTTAGGGGCTTGGATAACCTTCAATACCTTACTGCTCTCTGCATTAAGAAAAACGCACACAGTGAGCACAGGGGCTCATGTGCCTCACATGTTTTTTGAGCACGAGATGAGAGAGCAGACCAGGGATCACTCATCAAAAAATGAGTAATGGTCTAAAACTCTGACTACTGACAGCCTTAAAGGTAATGATTCCTTTCAGTGGCCTATAATTCCAGGATAACATCAATAAAGATGAAGAAATAATTCTGTAAAAAAAGTACTTTGGAATAGTGATAGAGCTTTTTCAGTGCTACTGCACCCGGGCTGATCAAATCAAAAATAAAATCAGTGATTTAAGTCGACCTGATAGGATCGGGACATAGAGGAGACCACCCAGGAAATAAAGAGGATGAGCTTCACGAGAACTCATAAAAGATCTAGAAGAACATCAAGATGTCACTGTGATACGGTGCAGGCTCCTCGCTCGTGTGACACTGAGCCTCTTAAGTCATCTGCAATTTGGCATAGTGATTCAGTGTTTGTGCAAGATGGTCCACTATTATTAGGAGACAGCTAGATTGGTGTAGGAAGAGGCCCAGTAAGAATGCCTCATGAGCGCCTCATAATTATTAGTTTGAATGGTTTTTCAATGTCATCACGTCAGCTTCAAAGATATACTAACTTGCACACTATGTAGGCTACAAATTATTATATGCACACATAGGAGGCTGTGATAGCTGTGAAAGCTTTGATCTTATTTCAAAATCCCTCCTCCCCCTTTTACTACATGTGCCTCAATCTTCACTTTGCCGCCAGAGGAAAGTCATTTGGCAATAAATCAGCCACATGAGAACGTATAATGTTAAGGCTTTGGGCTCTGACATGCTGAATACACTAATATTTCCACACTTCAAAGAAACGTGTAATGTCCTACATGTACTGTACATTAACATGTCATATGTTAAACTTTGTCATCAAAGTTTTACCCACTGACCTAGTTCAAGATCATAAATCTTCCTAACCGGCGTGTTAACATGGTATTACCAGTTTAAGACACCAGATACAGAGATGTTAACTGCTGAAGACACAACCTTTATTTACTGGATTAACATTGATGAAACTGAGGCTGCTGTTTATTTCTTCTGCTCCTTCTTTGATATACCAAAAGGTTGTGTGTTTAAATGTCTTTACTTCCAAGGTTTCTTAGAAGACTTCCTGCAGTGTAAACATGTGAATTCCAGATGACCAAAAGTTTACCTTTATCTTACTGTGCAGCAAGCAAAGAGGAAACAAGAACTAAACAAAATATAAATCTGGAAAAGCAGGCAAGCAGCATTCTGAACTTTACATACCAGTGTCAAATAGTAGTAAATGTTGTTTTTTCATTGATTAAATATATTTGTTATAAGACAGGAAAGGGAAAGATAGCTTTGTTTTCTTGAGCTGTTGCCTTCCTCCTGAGAAACAGAGATACAGAGAAAGGTCAGTCTGCTCACTGTTGCCAGAAAGGTGTGGGAGGTCAGACTGTTTGACTCTGATCCACGACCCACTGCCACATTTTTCTACTGTTACTTAAGAAACTACAAAACTGTTCATTGCTGGTTTTTCAGCCTCTATCAAGATTAAACATATGACCCTTATTTGACAGGACGGGCTGATTTTTTACATACAAAGATCAATGCTTTCTTAATATATCTGAGATGGATAGCATGTCTTTGTAAAACTGTAAAACTACTTTTTTGGATGAAAATGTAACAAAAGAGACTACATTGTATACTTAGCAAAACATGTGAATGTAAAATCTTCCAGGATTTAGGTTAAGTTTGTCCTACATTACAGCCAGGTCCAATGTGGGCGTGGTCTAACAATCTGTTTTTGTGTGCATCACCAGACAGCTAGCCAGATCATAAGGTCAAACCCGTGGAGAGGGGAGACGTAGGTGTGGAGGACAAAGCCAAAAGAACTACAGCCAAGTGAAAAAGATACCACACCACAATGTGAGCACAGAGGACACAAAGCTTTCCTTTTACACTGTCCAACACATCAATGGAGACCAAATCTACGATAGGTCAGAGGACAAAGACCCCGTTAATCAATATGCAGTAATCAATAATATAAAAGTCAGTTGCCATCATTGGAATTTATAGATTAAGGTTTCAAACAGTAGCTGACAAAAAGGAAGCTGATTAAAATGATATTGTTTTTACTGTTAGCTCATTTCATTTGATGGCAAAATTATTTTGTCTAGGGAAAAGAGTGGGCAGTGTGAGCGTGATGACAAAGACACAGTGTTCAAGGATGGGCAAGGGTGCTCAGAATGGAAAGTGTGGGCATAGAGCGGAGATCAACTTGTCCCATCAGCTCCATCGCCCGCCGAGCAGAGGCGTGAGGCAGATAAAGAGCAGGAGGTGAGGGGCGACAGCACTCAGACGGTCCCAGATAACTTGCATGTTCCCGTAAACACAGGGCAAGCGATGGCAAAGTACCAGAGCAGATAGTGGCAGAAAATTGTCAAAGATCACTCAGGTATCTGCCTAGAATACTTGGCTCAATGACATTTAAAACAAGGCCTATATGCATCTCTCAACCAGCAAATTAACTGATCTAAGAGAAAAAGAAAAAAACATGTAACCATAGATAATATGTCTGAAACCACAATAAAAACTATTTGGCCACTACATGGGATTTGCAGCACCCATAATGGGTTAACTGGGCTTATGAAAACAGCTGCAGGCAGATGGTGCTCTTTTACTAAAGCATACAGAATGCATTAAACAATCATAAAGGGAAGGTCTTATGTTATAATGGTTTCATATTAATTATAGATTTACTAGCTGACTAAAAGGACCTCCCTCAAAAAGTTATTTCGATAAACAATTTAACGTTTGAAAACATAACCTTAGGCTCTGGTACATTTAGATTGATATTTAATATGATATATGCCTGTATCACAACTGTTTCAATACCGCAATGAGTTGTGTCTCAATTTACAGAGGATCAGAGGCTGGCCACCACACTGGAAGACGAAATAACTGTTTTTTTTAAATATAAAAGGAAACCATGATGATCTCCAATGTCTGCAGTTCGGTGCCAGTAATATAGCTATTTGTTTTTAAAATCCACAGAGGCATGCTATTATATACACATGGCACTGGATGGTGTTTGGTGTAGGACACAAAAGTTGAGAGAAAGAAACATCTGCCACCAAGCATTGTAGAAATGCTGCTAAATGTAAAAAAAATTAAAAAAAGAGGTGAACTTCAACAATTAAAAATAATGTATACTTTCGTGAAGAAAGGGAAGAGAAAAACGAGCCACATTAAAGTTGCTAAAAGTATTATTATAATTGTATATGTAAGGTTTTTGCTTTTGGCCCACACATTTTTGTTTGTGTTTACAATCCTCAAATGCTGTGAAGGAACAAACACATTCAAAACAAGCATGTATTGTAAACTTCACACTTCATCATTTGGGATAACTCAATCATAACATAAAAACATTGACTTGTGGCGTAATGCTGCACAGCTGGAATCCCCAGTGAACAATAACACAAGTGCTTTTTGACAAACATAAAACATTGACAATCAGTGTCACATGCTTTCACCCAGACTCATCCAGAATCCTGTGGCTTGAATTGCCACAACTGGAAAGCATTAAAGCCTCTGTCTCCCTGGATCGAAAGTCAGTCTGAAGTGAGAAATGTGCAGCTCAGTATTCTCAAACACAGAGGGACAATATTCATAAAATGATAGGAAGCCTCTGGATCCCTGTTCCAACATGTGTGTGACCATCATGCTTATTGTCAAAGGGCTTGATAGCATTTTCCTGTTTGTTCTTGAAAACTAAAAGAGAGGCAACACAGGTATTAACTGATAATGTCAAATAAAGTCTGCCAGGCCTTAAACTTACATACTGTGCTCCTATTGTGTAATCAACTTGTGTAAGGGAACATCTCTAAAACTCTCTACAGACAGAGACGATCCTTTAACTCTAATAACATGTTTCAAAGTCCTTAGAAGTTTAGGTGTCTGTTTAAGCAAGTGTCAGAACTAAAATATTTAGTTCTCCATCAATGACAGATTGTTACTCAAACAGACATTAAGGAGGAGATAATTTCTGACTTGGCAATGTAAAACACCTGCTTAGTAGCAATTTAACGAGGAACACCCAAATGGCATTCATCATTACAACCTCTGGGGTCATATTCATAAAATATTAATGTCAGGGTAAGTTTGCCACCTGTTTTGTCTCCAGCCTATTTTTTCCCAATCCCGAAGGAAACTTTTGGTAATTTCTGGCTGGGAAAATATGTTCCACTTTTGAACCTCTAACGTGTTGAAAAAAGGAGAAAGAAGGAGAGCAGGAAAAAAAAGAAGCAGGTGTTAAGCAAAAGTGGTAGTTAGCACTCAATGACACACACACACACACACACACACACACACACACACACACACACACACACACACACACACACACAGTGATGAGTACTCTCAGCAACATTATGAGCATTAAATACATATTTGAAAAGCAGACTGGGAGCTGGACAAATTTGGACAACTGTCAATTATATTTTGTGTGGTCTAGTTGCTCCTTTTGGCTTCCCCCTGCACAAATGAGAGAGATGATTTATGTCACCTTTGAAATTGTTTGATTTGGAATACAATAGTCAAATGATGGCTGCTGTATATTTGTGAGTCGCTCTTGTGGTTGGTGATGTAATCAGATCTAAAAGTGATTTAATAAAGGGTTACAAAAATCAAAGCATTAAAAATCCATTGCAAACTAAAGTCAAAATTGATTATCTTGTATTCCATTAAGAAAGCCCTGTGTGTGTTTCTCAGTGTGAAAGAGAAGGCATAAAAACACAACAAAATATGTATTGCTTAAAATGTTTGTTCTTTTGTTTCTTGATCCATTTATCATTTCATTATCAAGATGATCTTTCAAATGTCCCATCAAAAATAATTGTTTTGTGAAGAATGTCAAAGGCCAATAGCCTGGTTGTCTCACCTAAGAGACACAGTATGTCTGCACTCTGCACATGTCCAGACACGGAAACATGCACACATAGAGGCACACTTGTATACCCAACACTCACCGACACAAAAAGAGAGCCAGGGGGAGTTGGGGAAAGAAAAGAATACGACTCTAATCAACTGTTGTCTAAGATTGTTAGATGGGACTGTCCTGTTCATAAATCAGAGTTTTATGGTCTCTAGCTTTCCTAACCCCCTTGGCCTTCACCCTCTGGTCTCTGTTGCCTTCACATCAGTCCCAGGACCCCTGGTGACCTGCCTCCCGGAGGCAAAAGCATCCTCTCACGAAAAGTAACACCAAATCAATTGGAAGCACTATGACCTGTACTCCTTCCAACCTGTCACTCACTCTGAGCTATGCAAGAATCCCCTTAGCACAGCTAGTCATGTATGTTTCTGTCAGAGACAACATCAATTCAAGAAAAGATGCGCTTTTATGTGGGGAACCAATTGTTTACATTAACTCAAGCTAGCTCCACCTTACCATTTAACAAATCTTCAATCAGCAAACCTTTTTCCCCAAATGTTTATGAGCTGTGGCCGTTAGACAACTGCCTTATTGCTATTGGACGACTGAATGATTCCTATCTCTGGCTTTTTCCAAAGTGGCCTGAAGGCAACCAAGCCATTCTAATTCTGCTTTAATGTGGGGACAATATAAACCTCATCCTTTTAACAGCCCCCTGTAAAAAAAAAAAAAAAGACTTTCTTTCTATTTAGTTGTCGTGAGATGCGTTTAACCTGAGGGGACAGAGACACAGGGGAGTGCATGATGTGGAATTTAGGGTGAAGTACTGATAGATTGACATCATTCAAATGCATTAGAGCTAATCTGTAGGTATAGATTCCTTAAACCACCTTTAATTAATGAGTAGGCTATACGTCTTTCGGTACGACATGTGTTATCTATCACTGAACAATGAAACAAAACAGTGAAACAATTTCAGTCAGTGTCATCAAACTACAGATAATAAAATATAAATGAATATGTTTGAACGTTTTTGAAGAATAATGTCATTCACGTTACAAAGCAATTGTTCAGAACTGCGCATAGGCGACAACATGCCAGATAACGTTTAATTGCGTTGCAGCCGAAGTTAAGTCCGGTACACCCTTTTTTTTCTTTTTTCTTTTATCTTTTAAATCAACCCTACTTTGTTTTTACCATTCCCCTCTGCATTGACGACACTGCTGTGCTCAAGCAGCAGCCCGATATAAATATAAAAAATGAGCCATGCACTTTAAGCAGTGCTGTTGTCTCTCTGAAAACAGCCTTCAAGCTGCTGATCCTTGTCTCTTATATGACCTTTAAAACCTAAATACATAAAGGTTTTGTCCACTAGACCATATTTTTAACCTTGAAGATTTTATAACACGGTATAATATGAATCTACCCAAAGCTTTTGCTCACCGAGATGTCATTACAGATCTTCTGATATGAGAGATGGCAGTGATCTGTTGTGACGTGGAATGAATACACAGCCTTGTCTCCTTTTCTCCTTCCTCCTCCTCCTCCTCCACTTCCTCCTCCTCCTCCTCCTCCTGTTAGCGCTTGAAGAAGATCCTCAACATATCTGTCCCTTGTGGCTCCCAAGTCGTTGGCTTCTTTTGTCACCTCATCTTCTGAAACTGAACACAAATAAAAGGCATTTTTCTCATTTTTGCATCATTTTCAAGTGTTCAGTTGAGAGAAAAGCAAAGAGGTGATGGCAGACTGCAGAGCAAAGCTATAAACATTAATTATGTGGCAATGTGTGAATACATGTGAAAGCAGATTTAAAAAGGAAGCGTTCGGAGAAACCGAGGGGAATGTCATCAGCTGTTGCACAGCTGCTCACACGGGGCTCAGGGTCCCAATTAACACATCAAACACAGAAACACTGACGACCCAGAAGCCCGCACATAGCTGTCACAACCCCATCTCTGCCTGTCAACTCTGCAGATGGACGGCAATAGAAAACTAGAGAGCAGTTAAGTTCCAGGTGTCCTTCCAGAGAAAAGGTACTAATGTGCATATGTTACAACACACACACACAAACACACACACACACACACACACACACAGAGAGAAAATTGACTTGCACATACAAAGACAAGCCTTGTAGAGTTTAATCTACTTTCTACACCTGTAAGCTGCAGCACAGAGGTTGGAAAGGATGATGGAACAAGGTCACTGCTGTCCCTCTGTTTAAGGACTAACAGCTACAATATTGTGGGATGGGGTCAGCCAGGTGCCTCCACAGTTTGGACGGTCTGATGATGATGCTAACCTGGTGACAACCTAGTCTAATCAATGGTCAAAAGATTGAAGTCTTTGTAGAACACACAAGCCAACAATTGTAGGTTCCTCATCTGTTTTTGAGTTTGCATATGGGAAGTCTTTACCCTCTCCGATCCACGCCGAGTGTCCATCGGTGAGAGCTAATGTGAATCCAGCACCCAGGTCTACGGCCCAGTCCACTCGCAGGAAGTAGGGGGTGGCTGCACCTACAGAGATCTGTTGGACTATTCCACTCATGACCTGCAGAAATCAAAGATAGGAGATGAGAAACTCTAACCATAATGAATACATTTTCCAGAAACAGGTCCGTGGCCTTGTGTTCAGGTTATGACGTGTGTTGGGATCATGATTTGGACCTCTTACCAAGCCAATTTGATTTTACAAGTTTGTGTTGAACCTCCAGTTGCATCAATGAGCCTCATTGTTTTACTTCTTGGATTTGGTAAAAACATGTCCCTGTGTGTCTTTAATAGGGCTCTCTCTGTGTTTTTGGCAGGTTTTTTGGTGCGGGGTTGGGGGCTCCCTGACCTACAGCAAGTTAATTACAAGCTATTAAAGATAAATAGAAGTACAATACCGAAAAAGGCCAAGTTGTTGTTTGAATTTAGTCAGTGTGAAGAGAAGAGCTATCCAACAATCTACAGTACATCTATTGAGTCTGAATACCCTTGAATCACACAAACTACATCAGTTTGCACAACAAGATTTAAGTCTGGAAACATCCCTCTAGTATGCTCAGTAAAGCATGTCAAACTCACATTGCTTTGTCAAAAGAAATCAAACTATATGATACACTGTAGAAGAAAGTTGAACCATTATTTAGCTGCAGGGATTAATAATAACCTTAAACTTGATTTGGACCTTGTGGACAGTTGGTGGAAAGTTAGATAGTAGATAGGGAGAAAATTCAACATTTCCAGAAGAACCATAATGTTTGAAAATAGCAAGCAAGGGACGATCACAGCCCTGCAAGTCATGGGTCCTAGCATTCAGTGATGTTTCATCATACTCTTCACTAAATCATTATTTGCCAATACTAAACTCCTCTACATGCTGAGCGAGCCTGTTTGCTAAATGTCACATTGCCCTCGGAGGCCTTATGCGTTGGCAAACCGATTCACTGCTGCAGTTAAAGTTAAGTATCCTTCCAGAAGCTGACTTTGTTCAACAGATCATTTACAACCGATGTTGATCTAAGGGTTTCAATATGATCCATGACATTGTTCCTTACATGTACTGACTATTCTTCTTCTCAGGGGTCTTGAGAACTTTTACTTTATTACGGATGTCTAGGCTAGAACACGTGATTACTGCTTCCACGTGAAGTGAGAGGTGAGTTGAACATCTCCCCTGCTTAACTACAGGGCATAGTGTGTGGGGATACAGGGAAAAGGACAGCTAAATTGGTACTTAGCTAAGCTGGACATGTTTTCAAAAATGAAAAATGAGCGCCTTCGGACTCGGTGTTACAAGTTAGGACGTGACAGCACGTAGTTTTGTTATTTTATTCTTTCTTTGCATCCCCCATGCTATATGCTGACAGAGCAGGTGGTTAAGGTTATTTAAAATGAGACATTCAGCAGAGCCCTGGCACACTAAACCTTGCAGCAAAGTTGACCCTTTGTGCTTTGAGAAGGGGTGTGGCTGGACGAAAGGGGATGAACAAGATGAGGGGGCTGAAGGGTTCAACTTTAACCTCATAAAGTGAGCCCAGCTACTCATTAGTTACTGTAACATCTGTTGCGCAGGGACGATGACCCTGTGGTAAAGACAGAAGGACACTCCAATTAAATAAACAGCACTGTATGTCAGGAATGGTGAGCCGCGCAAACCTTCAAAGTCAATCCCAAAGCCTTACCGTTCAGTAACTCAGTTGGCGGACCAAACCACAGGAATGCTTAAATCATCAACGATTGCTCCCCTACAGTTTTGACACACAGCCTTCATCCTCTTAACTTCCTCCCTCTGTAATTTCTTTCCTCAACCTTTTCATTGTCATTTCTTTCACATTGCCGCATATGAAAACTGCACGACATAACTGCAGGAAGTACTAGGTAAATGAGTCACAAAGAAAGCCTCTAATTATGCATAGTGACTTAAATAAGGAGTTCATAGAGAGTAGAAAAGCCAAGGCAGTTAACTATCTGTTTAATGGGCCTATAGACAATTAGGCCAGTCTTCCTCTCATTGTCCTTCCACTGGACTTTCCCTTCATGCTTTCTACAACACAATGGCTCCAAGATTTAAAGAAGAACTCTAATGATCGCTCAGGGAATAAAGCAGTGCAGCACTTAATAGCAACGGACTGTGTCATTCGCTGTTGTTCATTGTTATTATCACGTATTAGCTAATTTAAGCCACTTGACAAATAGAAACGGTGTAAGCCAAGATAATACGCACCACCATAAATCAAGGCCTAAATGTTAAGGGTGTGTGACCACAATTTGACCAATGCTTGCTTTTACACAAACACTATGTTTAAAGAACTACTGTAATTGGACCATGGACATTTTACTACTTATACTTTTGCTGCTCGCCGAGGGGACTGTGATATAGTGTTTGTTGTTCAGGGTCCTGCTCTTTGTCTCATTGGCTCATAATTCCTGTATTGAATTCAAACATATGTTTTGAACCCATATAGTAGAAAAAGCATTTAAGATTGTTTCAGATCTATATTTAACATCTTTGGAAATGTGTATTCTGTTTGTGAGCAGCAATAGCGCTAATGGCGGCAAAATAATTTAATACAAGCTGCAACGCAATCACACCCTCGTTCACAGAAAATTAAGAGTATACAGGTATGTGCGTTAACTCGTCTAATACATTTCAATAATATAAACTCCACTGAAATTACACAAGGAACACATATGCTTCTGTTATTGAAACTTTTGAGAATAGAAACTGTACCACTGGTTATTCGCAAAGACATTTTAAATGTCTTGCAACAAAGGATAGGAGTGAGAAGCCAAACAGTGATCACACTAACTTTAACTCTGCATTCAAAACCTTGAAGATATTACTAATTTAAACAAAAGAATTCCTTTTAAACAAACTTTACTAGCCTGCAAAGGGTTGTCCTCTCGTCCTCAGCTCTTCTGTATAATGTTATATATAATGTCTGGCTATTGTCGTGGATATTTTAGACTCGTCAATACTGTGAAGATGTACAATGAGAGCAATCAATAACAAAATGGTGAAAGCAAACAGCGTTGTCTTGTTGATTCTTTAATTGAAGCGCTTCAAAAAGGTACATGTCTCACAGAGTAGTCTGCAGGAGTGCACACAGGGGAACATGTGAGTGTTTGTTTTATAGAGGACTGTTGCTGTGCAGAGAAGAAAGAGATAAGACTTTCTCCTGACTGTTATCGTGCAATGCTCTCATAGGGAGAGCCGCGTCCTCCAGGTACGACCTTGGCAGGAAGCCACCGTGTGATACAACAGGTTGAGTTGACCAAACAGTTTCTCAGCATAATATCATCATTTGGTTTTACCATATAAAGTAATATAAGAAATTGCCACTACACTATCTATCCGCATAACAAGTAATTTCATATCTCAAATATTCACCAAGGAATAAGTTGCAAGTGTAAACCCCTGCTCAGTCACAAAAGCAACTCTTAGTGAAGATTGCGGTTGTGTAAAAGTTAAGAGACCAATGCATAATACGACCACCTCTGACAGGACTTTGGTGGCGTAATTCAAATTATTACCATCTGTTCTGAATTCTGAATGTCATATTGTTTTAGGGTCAAAACTGATAAGAATCCATGTGACCATTTAAACTGCAGTTCAGCTTAATTAAAATAAATAAAACATCTATACTTTATTAAAGAAGGTTTAACTGCAATGAATAAGGAATGTTATTCCAAAAGCGTTTGAGCTAATCTTCTTTTCAATTCAAATATTAAATGATTGCACATACAGAATATACATCATGCCTTGATTTGACTGCAATATTATCAGGTATGCTCTGATGACTTTTATCAGAATTAGCAACCCGCAAGTATCAATGAATATTTGAAACTGATCCAAAGTTTCTGCAGTATCAATGCATAAGGAAGAGCTGCTCTCTCGACTCTCGGACAGTGATTCAACACACACTCTGATATGTTACTTTTAATAGAAATCTATAACAATTCCCTGAATTATCAAACCGGTAGTGAATATATGGATCTTTTTTGTATTGTATCAAAAGTTAGAAAGGCATATTGTGACATTAACTGGGATGTAGCTTATATAGTTAAATCCACTGTAAACTATAATTAATCACATGAAGAGCAATGTGAGTGTTGCTTATCTTTTGCTTTTACAAACCTGCAATCCATCGGAAGACTGTCTCTTTTTACACCAAGGTTGTGTCCAGACTCCACACTATTGCAGTAAAAAATGCAAAACATTATTTATGTGTGGTTAACAATCTGACAGATTTCTTCTTACATGAGGATCTCCCTTGGAGTGTCTGTGAATGAAGGGTTGGTGGGGATTTATGAAACATGTTTTCAATGGAATCAAGATGCTGCCGTGACTGGTTAGAGGGAAGGGACTATGTTGTGAAACTCTGAGGGAAAAGTGCACCACAAAAATTTCAGATTTATACGTCACCAAAAGAGTGGAAGATACTGTATATTATGTGGACCTATAAGAAAAAGACTCACATTTCGCTATTGGATAAAGGGATTTTTTTTTAGGGGTTAGGGTTGAAGCCTTCTTTTTCTTCGTTTTTTTGGAAGTGAACTATTCACAGCCTTATAAAATAATCATAACGTTATAGCTACTTCCGGGTTCTGCAAATGCTGACTCTGCTACTTTCCTAATATCTTTCTACTACCTTAATCACCATAACGTATCTTTACACATCCATGAATGGAAAAAAAGGTAATGTTTGTTGTAACGTAAGAGATAATAATGTACGCCTTGAACTGCAGAACGGCGAGTTTTAGAGCGTGCTGCTATGTATCCGCTTCTCAAATGTAAGTGGTTTTCACTCAAATCAGACTGAATTAACAACAATTGTAGTGTTGGTAAAACACTTAACCTACATATTTTCCCAAAAGACTTACGGTATTGTATGTGCTTACTACTGCGATGTCCAAACGAAGGCATTTTTGCATGAATCTGAAATCATTGCAGCTCTCTCCCTGTTGGCAATTATTTGACAGAATGTTCAAGCTTCAACGCCTGTGTTCTCAGCCAATCAGCAATCGGGGTTGAGCGCGTAATTACGTCACGTAAAGTTACGTTAGTTACGTCGCGTATCTTCGAGAGAGCAGGAAGTGTGATGTGGCTTTGACTTGACAAAAATGGTAAGCTTGTTTTTATTTATAACTCGCCTTGGCTCTTGTACAGCATATGTTAAGCATACTCCTTAACACACACACTACGTCTAATCAGTGTCCCGAAACACTCATAAAGCAACTAACGGCTAAAATTCGATGCAAAGCAGGATGTATGGTAAATGCTAAACTATCTCGCTAGCATAGGTTAGCTAAAATAGGCTAAAAGTTTAGCCAGTCAACTGTAAGATGAATGTTTCCGTGCTTAAATATCGTTACAATACATGTTAACATCACCATCTAAGATGCGTTTCTCTGTCAATGAGAGGGTTTCATAAGAAAGGAACAAATGCTTGAGCATTGTTATGAATGCAGCAGCGCAATTTGCCACGTAGATGCACCATAGTTCATAGAGCATCTGTGTTTGGCTTAAGGAAAAGTCTGTCGGTTTGCAGGTAACTTAAGTATTCCACAAATAACTTATTGAATTGCAATCGTAATGAAAAGCAATTGATCAACAACGTTCTACATATACAAGACATGAATCAATAACAAACAGCCTGTTCGAGGGATGATAATTAGTGCTATAGAGCAAAAAGTATGCATGAATGTACTTCTTGATTATTTAATTTGTATATGCACAATAATGTTTAATTATTGTAAAATACAAAAATATATCACCCATTTTATAATTATTAAAATAAGTTATTGTAGTTTTAAGATGGTAATTTCTGGATTAAATGAGAGCATTTTATGTGAATACTACCTAAAAAGAGACTCTTGGATGAATGCACATGTTAATGTGAGTGAAAAAAAGAGGTCACAAGACTGGTTGCATCAAAGATCATTGCAGAGCCCCTTGGTAGGGTTGGAGTACCTTCACAAGTAAACAGTTCATTGAATTAAATAAATGTATGACTCCTTGAGCGTTCTTGGATGTGTCTGTGAGATGTCCTGTACTCCATTGTAGATCTCAAACAGTGAAAGGATGACTGATGAATGTAGTGGGTGAATGAGTTTATATTATCATCATTTTGAATTGCTTACCATTTTAGAAGCCTGTCTGACACAGGTGGAAAAAGCTAGGAAATACGCTTTTAATACACAAAATCATAATTACAAATCTTCAACTAACTGATTTCTTGTGAGTTTTATATTTATATATATTTTTTTTTTAATGACTCAAACAGAGCATAATTGAGTCTCGTTCTTTTGCGCATGATCACCATATGAGATAAAGATTTGTATTATGCCAATATACCTTTTTTAGGCAGGTAAGTGATCTCATAAAATTGTAGGATATTTTTCACTGGCACCATATAGAAAAACATGTTATTTCCTTTTCCTCAATTTGGCGTTAAGTGTTTTTGACAAGTGTGAGTCCATTTGTGTCTGCAGAGCCAGCCCACATCTTTGTCACACAGGAAGAACGGCTTGTACAACAACATTCCTTATAACAACTAGCATTACATCAGTGTTGGATTTGATGACTCATTGATGTTAAGGGGCTTTAGATCCTTTCTGTACTAAATATGTAATTCTGTGTCATCTTGCAGTCGGCCATTTTCAACTTCCAGTCACTGTTGACAGTGATTCTCCTCCTGATCTGTACCTGTGCCTACATCAGAGCACTGGCTCCCAGCCTGATAGACAAGAACAAGACCGGGTATGATCAGATACTGTTTGCGATACTTAAGAAGCTGCCATTGAAGTCTTTCCAGTCATTTGAACCCTCAAATACCTGCCTTCATGTCTTCCAAGGAGACCATGTTATAAAAAGCTGCATAACCAAATCATTTTTGTTACATTAAAGTCTTAGTTTCAGGGTTAAAAAGTAATGCTTTTCTGTCACCAGTCATATCATTCAGTGCATGCTACTGACAATGCAAGGCGAGGCAATCATTCAACACACAAATGATTTGTCATGTAAAGCTTATGCATTAGGCTTCATCCTTCAAGGTCCCGTCCCCATAAACGTCTTCATTACAATAGTTTATTCCTAGGTGGTCACTTCTGTATTTCAACTTACATTAATGATATTTCTCTCTGGGGTAAAAAACAACAACAACACAAGAAATGGTCTGCGATAAAGCTTTAGCCTAAGTCCTGCAATTTCCCATCCCTATGTAACTGCCTTTAAAGAACACTTGCTTATGTTTTCAGCTAATAAGACGCTCCTCATTGATGCGAGTAAAGAGGCAGAAGGCCTAAATGTTCTTCACACTGAATCATCATTATTATTCTTGGATGTACTAACTCCATGATTCACTTCTAATAAGTCTGGCAAAGCCCAGGAACAGCCAGACGCATTCTCTCTCTCTCACTCACTCACACACACACACACACACACACACACACACACACACACACACACACACACTCTTCTCTCTCACCCAAACATGCACACACACACACACACACACACACACACACACTTCTCTCTCACCCAAACACGCACACGCACTCACACACACCATTGGAGCAGGGAGGGACGCCCTCTTCAGACGAACACATGAGACTGGCAGATGGATGGTTTAATAGTGTCCCTCTTGATAGATTTGTTGACTAAGGAATGAACTGTTATTTTTGTTGACCCATTTTGCAAATGATTCTGGTGTGGTAGGGATAGATTAGAGTCTGAGGGGAAGAATGTGTGTGTTGTACATAAAAGATATTAACATGATATATTTACAAATACATTTTAAATCCAGGACTATCCTAAATCAATCAAATACAAATAAAATGCTGACCCCATCTGGTCAGTTTGAAAGTTGGCTGGATTTGCAAACACCCACCCTCACAAAGGCCAGCAAACGCCTCAGAAAAAAGTGAAGGCCTGGAATGCCAGTTTCCCTCAGCTGTCACTGGAGATAATACGATTTGCCTGATTTCCCCCCCTCCCCATGTGAGCACCCCTGGCTTCACATGGACACTGACATCTGATAGCTGTCTGGGTTTTTGTACCAAAGTGGTCACAGTCCTCTTGTAAAGCAGGGACAGGAGTCTGACTTGAAGTTACTGTAGCTACCTCAACATATTAAAACTGCAGCCCCTTTTCCACTTTGTGTATCACCAGATCAAAGCATTTTATTATTATAGTGATTAGACGGTTCACTTTCACAAAGCAGTCAAATCATTTGAGTCTTTTTTTGTGCTTACCATTTTTCAATGTGTTTCTTTTAGGCTTCTAGGAATTTTCTGGAAGTGTGCCCGAATAGGTAAGCCTATGATTACCCCTTGTTTTACGAAACATGTTTTTATCATAATATTGCTGAAATGTTGCTAAAGCAATTCTGCTTTCAACTTTACGTCATTTCTTTGCTCCAGGTGAACGGAAGAGTCCGTGGGTGGCTTGCTGCTGTGTCGTCATGGCTTTTAGTATACTGTTCCTACAGTAGCAGTCTACAGAAAAGCACAAATAGAAACATTGGGGAAATGAAGAGACAACGAGGCATGGACAGTACGATCCTAAAGCACAACAGGACCTCCAGTGATTGTCACTCAGATAAAGTCAAAGCAGAGAGCAGTCATCACTCACCGTAGCCACGGAGAGAGTAAATGTGTCCTGTGTGGGGAGGGGGGAGCTGATAGCCAAGGAGTGTGTCTAGATCCCTCTGCGGACTCCCAGGTCCTCGTGTTTGCTAATGTGGAATGTTTACTCCGGATGTGTGTGTGTGGGGGGGGCCAACGCTTTCTGTTATCTGCCATTTAGTTGAAAGAAGACTCGGTCACATTCTGGCATCATTGGTGGGATCAAAATGACACATTGTTTGTCCAAACATTTCACACTGATTTATTTTTCCCCTTTCAGTTTGTCACAATTGCATCAACCAGTTGGACGTTTCCCACAAAAAGGACCTTTCTAAACTCTTATGCGATTCGGCCCTATATTTGTAAACAGAGTTCTTGAGGAGTGACTTAAAGTCATCTCGTCACCCTCTTTCTAACCTGCGCCCTGTTTGTTGTATTCAGAAATGGTGATCGTATTCAACAGCAAACAAAATGATACTTTAGCTCTTCAGGTGGTTACTTGTCCCACGTGTTCGCCACAAAGAGCTGCTGATGTTTTTAAACTCAGTCATTTTGCCGCTATTTATTAAAGAACCTTTTTGGAAATCTGGTCTTTGGCCGTTTTTGTCTTTTTTTGGAGTTGATGTCTGTTGTGATAATTCCACACTTTAAATGAAGTGTCATTAATAATTAGTTAAAACTTGAAAAATACATGTTGATGATAACTTACATTGATTTTGTCAATATTTTATTTTTGAGGATTTGATTACACATACTGTACATTTAAGATTGCACCTGCAAACTTGGATATAAAGTTTCTTAATACATGTTTAGGCTAAGAGGAAACAACCACCTAAAATGGGGAACTCTTCCTGTTCTCAAAATTAATATAACCATGACCAATTTTCTCCTGAATCCAAAATGTAGAGTGATTCAACTCAGATTTGGGATTCCAGTTCTGGAATTGCTCCATAAACAAATATGTTGCGAAATATATTCCACAGAGCATTTAAGGGGAATTGTTGTTTCAGAACGGTTGGATAAAACAGATTAAAAAAAGCTGATTTAAGTACAAAAACAAAATAATTCTGTACTTCCACAAAATCCAGATATCTATGGAGCAGCTCCATTATTAATATGTGATGACATCAAATGTAAGACTTTTCTGGTTTCTTGCTTTAAAAGAGTAGCAGGAAAAGTCATGAATCTTTATTTATTGAAAGGCAATGGAAATCCCACATTGACTTCTTAATTTAAAGTGGTGTTCCCCTTTAGGGATCGCTGCATTAGGTATCTAGATATCTATTTAGTTCCAGATATATAGTAGTGTAAGGTGCGTTTTGAATTGAAATCCAGGTCTTTATACATACCAAGGCTTTGATGTAATGTGTGGAAGCATTGGATGAAATTCAGG